TCACCCTAATGAATTGAACTAATTGTCTCCTGCAAACTCCCCTCTCCTTTCGCTCCTCTTTTATTCCCTCTGTGAGGAGCCATTCATCGTCCACCTGTGGCCTTACTCCCAAGTCGACCCCTCTTCCTTAGCTGTTCCCTTCATCTTGCCGCTCTGCTCATGCACACACTGGGAACAGGCTCCAGCTGTTCTTCTGCCTCACTGATGTCTGACTCTGAAGGCAGCTGGTAACAGTCAGACGGCCCTGGCCCCCTCTCTGCCTCTGACGCAGAGCCCTCATCAGAGCCTTCCCCAGACTCCAGGACTGGCCCATGTTCCTCCCCAACCTCCTCACTGTTTGAGTCTTTCGCCAGCTCTTCAAACCTGAACCTCCCTTGTAGCTAGTTTTAAGCACCCCCTTTCCATTCCCCAAAGCCTTCTCTAATAAACGTGGTTACTGTTGATAAGCTCAGATCTTGGTATTTCCCAGAAATAGTTCAGCTGTATCTTTAATCTTATCCGAGGGGGAAAGGGTTGGGATGGAGGTAGCTGTGAGCCCTGGGGAATTAAACCTCTCTCATTCTTGATTTGTCCCTCTCTCTCTTGCAGATATATCCCAGCTATTGTTGACCACACTGGAGGCCTCACCTGCCAAGGGACATTCTTGCTTCACCAGGTGAGTGGATGCTGAAATCTCCACAAAGGCTCCTTTGATTCTGGCAATTACAGGAAGGCTTGTTTTCAGTTATTTATGAGTGGCAATAATGCCCAGAGAATTGCCATGTTCTTCTTTTTGTGATGTTGCTTCCCAATTTGCAGCCCGGCCTACCATCCTGCTGTTTCTGGTGGTCTCCTATCCAAGTTGTAAATCAGACCAGACCCTGCTGCCTCGGGTCAGGCAGGGACTGTTGGATGGTCTGTTTGAGCTGGGCTCTTTGAAATAAAAATTAACTGCGTTGCTTCCTCTTGGTCGTCCGAGACGCAGCTCCTTCTTCACCCTCCCTACAAGTCGGCTCCAGTCCAAAGACCACCCCCCACCCCCCGACAATGGCTTGTCAGGCTGGATTTCTGCGGATCTCATCAGAGCCCGTTCTTTTCCATTCTGTCTCGCCGCGTTGCTTCCGGTCGACCTGAGTCTGTGCTTTTGGCATCCGCATTTGGCAGGCTTCCCCAATTCAATTCAGTTCTCTGCCGGTCCAGGTGTCTGGAGATCTTGGCGGTTTTAAGCCTAACTTTTAAAGAGGTGGAACGTTAAGAGGGAGAAGCAAACAGAGCTGATCTCTTTTTCATCACTATAGGGAATACAGCGGAGGATCACCATTACCATCATCCATGAGAAAGGCAATGAGCTCCACTGGAAAGATGTGCGAGAATTGGTAGTCGGTAGGTATTCTTCTCCTCTGTTTCTGGATGTCTCTGTTCTGACCTAGGCCTCCCAAGTTCATGAAGCCGACTCCTCGTCCCGATAAAACTCCTTTTATTTAGGTTAAAGGGAATTCCTCTCCAGCCAAGTCCCAGTCAACAGTCTTTCCTGAGATCTCACAACTACAGACCTTTATCGGCCTTGGAGAGCTGCCAGACAGATATCTTTTAAATGCCATGCTGTAGCAGCAATTACTTGGCAAGAAGTCAGGGACAGATCTTCACCTGAATGAATTGAACGAATTCCCTCCTGCAAACTCCACTCCCCTTTAGCTCCTCTTTTATTCTCTATGAGAGGGGCCATTCACCATCCTCTTGTGGCTTTACTCCTGAGTCGACCCTTGTTCCTTAGCTGTTCCCTTTGTCTGGCCACTCTGCACATGCGCATACTGGGAACAGGCTCTAGCTGTTCTTCTGCCCCACTGATGTGTGACTCTGAAGGCAGCTGATAACTGTTGGCCGGCCCTGGCCCCCTCTCTGCCTCCGATACAGAGCCCTCATCAGAGCCTTCCCCAGACTCCAATACTAGCCCATGTTCCTCTCCAACCTCCTCACTGTCCAAATCTGCTGCCATTTCTGCCGGCCGCTAGCGGGCCACAACAGTATCACAGCTGTTTGTATGTACCAGAGGCTGGTTTTGCAGGAAGGAACTTCACATTCCACAAAGATTTAACTTGGCATTTGGATTGATGAATGGTTTTGAGTGGGGAAACGCCCCAGTCTGGAGACATTCGTCCCCAAAATCCTTTTGCAATTACACAGCTTTCTGAAAGTGAATGTAAGAGATGGCCAGATTGAGCCTGTGGGAGGAGTCAAAGATGTCATGAGTCGTAAGTTACTTTGCACCCAGGTCCAGCCCACCTTGAATACCACTGGCTTTTACCTACCGCCAATTTGCTTAGATGTTAGTAGCTCAGATTCTTGTAGCGAGCTTAAGCTTGCAATAAATCTTTAAATCCATTTGGAGCTTCTGACTATCCTTAGCGCTTGATGGCGAGTTTCTCTTGGTGCTTCTTCCCTGCGAAGCGACACCCCCACCCCCACCCCACTCCCAATAAATCTGTGCTCTTTTGCCTCTGTCCTCTCCGCAGGGCGCATCCGGAACAAAGCCGAAGTGGACGAAACGGCTGTGGACGCTGTCTTATCTCTCAACATTATCTCCGCCAAATATCTGAGGGTCTCTCACAGCTCCAACAGGTCAGAAGCGTTCCTTGGCCTGGGTCGGCTCCCCAACCTGGGAGCCCCAGCTAGGGGTGGACTGCAGTTCCCATGCTCCCCAGAGAGCCTGATTGGGGGGAGTTCTGACCCACTTATGTGGTCCTTGGGGTGGGGGTAGGCTCCTCTGTTCTCTGAGTAGGAGAGCTTTAAAGCAGATTTTGGACCTAGCGGGAAAAAGTGAGGTTGCGGCCGGAGGTGGGTTGCCCCCAGTTTGGCCGAACCGGTAGTGGAATTCCGGGCTGGGTCGCAGAACCGGCAGCAACCCAGGCTCACCAAGCCCCCGAACCGGTTCCCCGGCCTCTTATGCCATTGCCGGCATGTTTCTGTGCATGCGCAGAACAATATTTAGTCAACTGCGCATGCGCCAGCAACATGTGGCTTGCACGCACACGAGCGAATTGAGCTTGCACACAGCGAACCAGTACCAACCAGTATAGGAACCTGCCCCTGGTTGTGGAACTTAAGAATCTGTGACCACGTTTATCTTTAGAAACAGTGAGAATGGTAAACTGCGTTTTTTTTCCCATCGGGATCTGAGAAATGGAACAGCCGGAATACACTAATGTTAGTCATACAGACCTCTCAAAGGAGCCTTTCATAATAGACAAATAATGATATATGATTATAAAATTATAGATTATAGAGCCAAGTGGCGCAGTGGTTAGAGGGCAGTACTGCAGGCTACTTCTGCTGTCTGCCGGCTGCCTGTAATTTAGTAGTTCGAATCTCATCAGGCTCAAAGTTGACTCAGCCTTCCGCCCTTCCGAGATCGGTAAAATAAAGGACCCAGATTGTTGGGGGCAAGATGTCGACCATGTAAACCGCTTAGAGAAGGCTGTGAAGCACTGTAAAGCGGTATATAAGCCTAAGCCCTATTGCTACAAGAGCCATGGTGGTGGCTGTGGTTAGAAAGCTGTATTGCACGCTAATTCTGCCCACTGCCAGCAGTTTGATCCTCAGTGCCTCAAGGTTGACTCAGCTTTCTGCCCTTCCAAGGTGGGTCAAATGAGGGCCCAGATTGTTGGGGGCAAGAGGCTGATTCTGTAAACCTCTTAGAGAGGGCTGTAAAAACACCATGAAGCGATATATAAGTCTAAGCGCTATTGGTAACTCTGCCCACTGCCAGGAGTTCGAATCTCACCAGGCTCAAGGTTGACTCAGCCTTCCGTGCTTCAGAGGTGGGTCAAATGAGGACCCAGATTGTTGGGGGCAAGAAGAGGCTGATTCTGTAAAACCGCTTAGAGAGGGCTGTGAAGCACCATGAAGCAGTATATAAATCTGAGTGCTATTGCTATAACTCACCTCAAAGGCTTCCGTCTTATGACGGCCCCTTAGGCTGTGAAATAAATTCATCCTTTTTGCGATTGGCCCAATTTTCAGCTCTTGCCCTTGGCAAGAGAAGGTGGACATCGCAAAAACGTCCTCCCGAGTTCACACCCACGATGCATGTCCCTCTCTGTGTGTGTGTGCGTGTTAATGTCCCTGCATTCGTGTCTTTGGGTTGTCCTCTGGCTTGAGTTTTGGCTTTTCTCTCCGCTGCTTTTCCTTTGTCGCTCGTCCTACCCGTGTTTGGGGCCGACCTAACGAACGCTTTCTGTATCTCCACAGGCTCTTCCTTGATAAGGATATGCCTAGGTATTTTCACATTTGCTTCCTTGGTGCCCAGCCTAGTGCCCAGACTCTCCTCTTCCCCTTTCCCCTAATCCCAGTTTGGCTGGTGGGCAGAGCTTTCATTCCCTCCCCCCTCCTCCCCACCGCCCCTTTGCTGCCTTGCGCTGTGGCACCCCTCCTTGGCTTTAAAATCTCCCCTTGCCCTGTTCTCAGAGGCCTTGAGAATCTTAGGGGGTGGGGCTGCAAAAGAGATCTCTTGTGATCTAAGAGATTTGGCCCGGCATCTGAGTGTGCTACCTAGAAGCTTTTCTGTGAGTTCAAGTCTCATATTTGTGCTTAGCTTATTTCTCCCCTCCTTCCCCCGCACTTAATTTTTACCTGTCGCTCTTTTCCCGAATCCCATCCTCAAAAAATCCAAAAATGGGATTCTTTCCCAAGTGTGTCCTGACCCCCCCAATTCTCAGTCTGTATCCAGTTATGTTTCTTTCTTCCCGATTTCATCCCTTTGGCTTCTGTTGTGCTCAGTCTTTGCTTCTCACGCGGTCGAAATGCCATTTTAATGTTTGTCTTCTCTTGTCTTTTCCACCCTGAATTAGACCTAGCTTTGCACTCTTTCTGCTCCCTGGTTGAAATTAATGAAAAGGGGATTTCATTTGCTGCTTCTCTTTCACCTTCTCCCGGGACCCTGTCCCAATCTGCCCTCCCCTCCTTTTCCGCCGTTCATTTACTTCTTGCTTTCTGTTTTTCCTCAAAGTTTTTCATTTTTACTTTCATATGCCATATTTTTGGGAGTATAAGACACACCAAGATTTTGAAGAGACAAATTTTTTTTAAAAAAGTTTTTGCACTCTACAGACCTCGCGAAAACAGGCCTGTTTTTCGCCAAAAAAAGGGCATGCAGAGCCTTTAGGTGCCTTGCAGAGTGCTCCTGGGGGCTGGGGGGGGGCAAAAATGAGCAAAAACTGACCCGTTTTTCACTTAGTTCTGCCCTCCCCAGTCCCCAGGAGCTTTCTGGAAGCCTCCTAAAGGCTCTGCATGACAACCTTTGCAAAGGGGGTGGGGTTTCGGGAGGCCAAAAATGCTGTATTCAGTGTATAAGACGCACCCAGATTTTCATCTTTTTTTGAGGGGAAAAAGGTGCGTCTTATACTCTGAAAAATGCGGTAAATATCCACAAGTATACCATTATATCTTGACAACACTATCATGTATTGTCCAATAATATATCAGTTCTTCTTACCATCTACCCACAATAACTCTCATTTGCTGTTCTGCTTTCCATACACCATATTATACCTCCTCTCCCTCTCTACCTCCTTGCTTTCCTCTATCATCCCTCTCTTCTCTACTTCCCCTTCCTCTCTCCTTCTCCTCTTTCTGCTCCTTCTCTCTCTCCCCTACCCTTTTCCTCGCCTCTACTTCCCCCTCTCCTATCCCCCCCTCTTCCCCTTCTCTCCCCCCCTTCCACTCTCTCCGCTTAGCTTACGTGGCGTATTTCAGCATCTGAAATGCAGGCTCAATTTAATATTGACGGTGTTAATGGTTACTTCTTGCTTTCCTGTGCAAGATTCACCTTCTTTTAACCCAGCAAAGCAGGTCTATCCAGGTTTAGAAGAGCTGAAGCAGGTTATGGAATAGCTGTAGGGCAGGGCAGGGCCACTCAATTGTGTTTCCTTCAAGAGGGTAAGCAAACCTTCAGAAATTTTAGCTAGCTAGGGCCACCTTCACAAAACAAAAGCCAGGCCCTTCTTCCTTGTTTGTCCTTGGAAAGGTAGCCACCGTTCCCTCCGTTTCTCATTCTTAGTTCTGAATGCCAGGTATTCACCCAGATTCCTAAGCCAGGAAGCGTGGGTTGGTTTGATATGGCGACACCCACCGTTGGAAAATTGAGGTTGGCAGTTAAGTAAGAAGCAGTCCGAGGACGTGGGTGTAAAAACTTAGAAAAAAGGGCCTGCTTCCTTCCACCTTCCAAGAATTGCTCTAAGCCAAGGGTGTCAAACTCGATAAAAAGGGTTGTGTTTGACCTGGGGGGGCGTGGCCAGGGTGGGTGTGGCCAGCATGACATCATTCGTGCCGGGGGGGGCGCCTGTGGAGGGAGGCACACACGCTCTGCCTCCCGAGCTCCATTTTTGGCTGTGATAGCCTCCTGCAACCCTCTGCCGGCGAAAACGAAGCTCGGGAGGGCCGTATGCGGCCCTCAAGAGCTCCGTTTTCGCTGGTAGAGGCACCGCGGCTGGTCCGTTGTTTCCACGGCGGGCCAGATCTAAGCACCCCGCGGGCCGGATCTGGCTCCCGGGGGCCTTGAGTTTGACACCCCTGCTCTAAGCTTATTCAGGATGGTTGCTCAGCCACAGCTGGGAGAGGCACCTCCGCGCTGGAGCATCAGATCGTAGCCTTTGATTATTGTTATTGTTATTATTTTTTTCCAGAACTTTCTACCGTTTTGAGGCTGTCTGGGACAGCTCCCTGCATAACTCCCTTCTTTTGAACCGGGTGACCCCCTACGCGGAGAAGATCTACATGACCCTCTCGGCTTACCTGGAGGTGAGGTTGCATCGTCTGGTCTCAGAGCTTTAGCCTGACGGAAGGGCGAAAGGAGAAGTTGAAGTTCTCTTTTTAAAAAAAAAAATCAGGGACCCCCCAGAGGGAATCCCCCTTTCTAAATCCTTAAATTGTTTGGCCGGTGATTGCGAACATTTTCAGCACCGAGTGCCCAAAGTGAAAAAATGTGTGCATGCACATATGTGCACCGGAAACCCGAAGACCAACTGGCTGGTGCGCGCATGCCTGTTTTGGGGGCGTTTTGGGGGCTGTTTTCCAGTGCTCCAATGCCCGGGAAGACCAACTGGCCAGTGCGCATGTGCACGCCAGAAAATCAGCTGGCCATGGATGGCTCATAGAGAGAGCCATAGGTTCACCATCACAGTGATAAACCATTTTTATTTTACCCGGTACCTGTGCAGCCGTAAGCCTAACTCTTAGGCAGCGACTTTTTTCTCACCAAGATGAGCACTTATGATTGGTCTGGATTGTTACAAGGGGTCCCTCTTCCGTAAGCGAGAAACTAGAGAGAGCCAAGCCGCTGAGGAATAAGAACCTGCAGTCCCTGACATGCTAGCTTTCTGCCTGCGGGGACTCTCTTTGGTATTCAATCGATAAATAACATCCCTGTGTTATGAAATCTCAAAACAGGAGTAAAGACTTGAGGAGCTCATAAGGCCAGTGAAGCCAACCAAAATTTGATATTTTTATGCTTATTCAGAATGCAATTCTTATTATTATTTTTGTTTTCTACCAGAAAGCTCAAAGCTAGCCAAGGTTAAGTCTTTAATTACTTAACAGCCTGTAGTTCTACAGCTCCAAGAACCAAGTATAAAGTACATATTTGACTTTTTAGAGTGTTATTTCCTAAGAGACGGGTGTCATTCCTCTTCCTGTTAAGTGAGTTCACATGATTTTAAATAGAGGGGTAAATTCTGATCCAATGAAGATTGTTCAATCGGTCATTCCATATAGAGGGTTCATCCTTGGCAATTTTTTAAGACTTGTGGACTTCCAATGCTCCAGGCTGGGGAATTCTGGGAGATGAAGTCTTAAACTTGCCAAGGTTTGGATACCCATGATATCAAGATCAAGGTTCCTCTTGCCCATATGTGCTAGTTGTTCCTGAGTCTAGGGGGCGCTGCTCATCTCCTTTTCAAAGCCGAAGAGCCAGCGCTGTCCAAAGACATCTCGGTGGTCATGTGGCCGGCATGACTCAACGCCGAAGGCACACAGAACACTGTTACCTTCCCCCCAAAGTGGTCCCTATTTTTTCTACTTGCATTTTTTTTTACATGCTTTCGAACTGCTAGGTTGGCAGAAGCTGGGACAAGTAATGGGAGCTCCCTCCGTTACACAGTGCTAGGAATTAGAACCATCAAACTTTCTGATCGACAAGCTCAGTGTATTACCCCTGAGCCACCACGTCGCTAATAACCCATGATATAAAGCATAATAAATGTGGAGCTAGAAGTATGTGGGTTCATCTCCACTTGTACCACACACACCTGTGCCAAAGAGAGCTGAAGTGCCACTTGTTCGCTTGTACATTGCCCATCATCGTTGGTGAAAGTGATCCAGCTGTTTTCTTCCCTTCCAGCTGGATCACTGCATCCAACCAGCCGTCATCACCAAGGACATCTGCATGGTCTTCTACTCGCGAGACGCCAAGATTTCTCCCCCCCGCTCGCTGCGGAGTCTCTTTGGACGCGGCTATTCTAAGTCCCCGGACTCGTAAGTCAGATCACTCCCCTGGGGCCGTCCAAGGGCCACGAGACCCTTGGTGGGTGGGAGGGCTTGTGGGTTGCCTAGTTTCCTGTCTCTTGGTCTCTCGCAAACCTCCTCGTGGAATTTCAAAAGATTGATTGAGTTGATTCTTGGAAATCTTCAAGTGAACGGCCAAAGCAGAGGACTCTCATTTCAGGCTGGCCAGGAATATGTCAAAGATTCTTTCAGTTGAGAAAAAAAGGAAAACAGGTGTTCCTCTGTAATAATAAAAGTATATTCGTTATATGACAAATGTATGAGCCTTGGTGGCGCAGTGGTTAGAGTGCAGTACTGCAGGCTACTTCTGCTGTCTGCCGGCTGCCTGTAATTTAGTACTTCGAATCGCATCAGGCTCAAGGTTGACTCAGCCTTCTGCCCTTCCGAGATCGGTAAAATAAAGGACCCAGATTGTTGGGGGCAGGATGTCGACTCTGTAAACCGCTTAGAGAAGGCTGTGAAGCACTGTAAAGCCTAAGCGCTATTACTACAAGAGCCATGGTGGTGGCTGTGGTTAGAAAGCAGTATTGCAGGCTAACTCTGCCGACTGCCAGCAGTTCGATCCTCAGTGCCTCAAGGTTGACTCAGCTTTCTGTCCTTCCGGGGTGGGTGAAATGAGGACCCAGATTGTTGGGGGCAAGAAGCTGACTCTGTAAAACCGCTTAGAGAGGGCTGTGAAAGCACTGTGAAGCGGTATACAAGCCTAAGTGCTATTGCTCTGATGAATTAACTCCAGTATGGACCAATGTAATGATGCTTGAAAACCTTGCGCCTTTTCTCAAACTGCCTTGTTTTCTCAAATTATCGTTGTTGTTTTTTCTCCCCCTGCCTCCCTCTTTGCAAGCAGCAACCGAGTAACCGGGATCTACGAGCTGAGCTTGTGCAAAATGGCTGACACCGGAAGCCCAGGTCAGAAGATGTCCCTTTTTTATGAATATGCCAAAAAGAAAAAAAAGAAAAGAAAAAATCCTCCATATTTTTTTTCCTAAACTGGGTTGATTTGTGAATTTATTATATTCCTGCCCCTTGTCTTTTTTTAAAAAAAG